GCTATATCCTGACGTTACATATTCCAACGGCTATATTTCCAACGGCTATATTCTGGGAGCCCCCAGATTTTCTTACTTCACTCCACTTCATCAAGAAGAACCTCCGGGTACACTTACCCAGAGACGCCCCCGGGTTGTGCCCCACACAGTACATAAAAGTCGCCTTCGGGATCACTCCTTCAGAAGCCAAAGGCTTCATATCAGGCCACCCCTCGGGGATTCCCCCTCAGCACTGTAAGGGCCGGGTAGCCCCCGGGGAGTATGCCTCATTGACAGATAGCCTACATCACACAGGTAATGGGAGCCCTCGGATATCCTCCTCACCAACTAATCAACAAGTAGGGGACACCCCGGTAACAATTCAACTACTACCCTCATCCATCACGCCCTCGATCCCCAGATCGAGTGGCTCCCCTTCGGCACCTCCTAGGACATCAACAGCAAGCCTCCGGCTACTCAACACATGAGCCCTCAGAACAAGGAGAGCCTTCGACATTACCATTATTCTCCATTTTTGACCAAGGTTTCACATTTTCGATTCATCGTTGGGGGAATTTGGTGCACTCTTTTTCCCTCATTAGGATTTTTCCCCCAGGGTTTTTCCTAATGAGGTTTTTAACGAGGCATCCCCCCAAAATCAAATGAAAAGCGTCAGCCCTCGGCCCACAACAGCAGCGCAACTACTCTACTCCTTTTTACCACTTTACAAGTGCCTCAAGGAGTGGGGGACTGGAGGACCCCCTCGGGAAAATTATTAAAATACAAAAGTGTGAAAAATTCCAACAAACAGCCAAGCAATCCCTCAAGTCCCGACATGTGGGTAACTGAGGGACTGCCTTCGGCAGGGACATGAAAGCAACGACTCCTCACCAACTTCAGAGATTACAACGGGACAACATCAAAGGGCAAGCACAAATTACTCCTTTTCCCTCAAGTACCTTTCGGCAAAAGGAGTGAGGGACTCCTGATGGAGTATATGGCCCGGGAACCCCCGGCCCACAGACTCCTACTACACCAATAAAGGCCCAACCGGCCCAGGAAGCACAGCAGGCCCCAAATTACGGCGCCCCAAGCACTTAGCAGCCCACAACGCACACTGGGGAGCCTTCGGCCCCCTGGCCGAAGGCTCAAAAACTCTCACATAACAGGTTTTTAAAGCAAACTAAGAAACTGGGAGAAAAACGGCAGAAAATAGTAGCCCTCGGCAACCTGGAGCCCTCGGCACCCAGGGGGTCCCCGACACTCAGAGCCCTCGGCTAGTCCTCTGCAGCCGAGGGCACCTCTCCCGACATAATATCCGCGCCACATGCGTACAGATCACCGTACCCTGTACAACGTCCCATCCAACAGCCGCATTAAATGCGGCTGTCAGCGCCAACCAGTTGAGGTGACCTCTCGGCCAATGGGCGCTTGACACGTGCCCCTGTCCGGCATTTATTGCTACTATAAATAGCACCCCATTTCCCCATTTGTAACCAAGTAAAAAACGCTGCATACTTTCTGAATACACTTTCTCTCTCTATACTTACTTGCTCTGACTTCTCTCTTGTTATTCCACGCAATAACCCCCCGGATAAGCTACCCCCCGGGTACACTATCCATCATCTGTATTTGAATTTTTTTTTCTGATCAATACTCGAATGGTCAATCTTAAAAGAACAACAAAATGGACGCCGTAGCTCTTGGAAACAGCAACAACCCTCCAATCCTTAGGAGAGGAGAGTATCAAATTAAATGTGGAGGAACCGCTTTCTGAATTTCCTCGAAAGTAAAGATAACTCTTCAGCGATGCTGGAATCTTTGAACCAAGGACCTGCTGAATGATGGATAAACGTAGCAGGAAACGAAGGCTATAATCCTCCAGTGATCTCGGTTAGAAGATTGAAAACCATGGCTGAATACACTGAAGAGGATAGACTAACATTTAAAGCTGACCTAATGGCTAAAACTTTCCTACTCCAAGCAATTCCAAATGATATCTTTGTTCTGATTGACAACATGCAGACGGCTAAAGAGATGTGGGATGAAGTTGCCAAATTAATGCAAGGGACTGGTATTGGATTGAAAACAAAGAAGGCCAACACGCTGACTGTCTATGATTCCTTCACAATCATGTCTAGTGAACCGCTTAACGAAACCTATAATCAGTTTGTAAAGCTGATCAACGAGCTGAGAAAGATCAATGTATTCAAATCCAATATGGAAATGAATATACGATTTTTGTCAAGCTTAAAGCCAGAATGGAGGAGGAATGTGAAGAATGTGAGACAAAATCTGGATCTCGATGAAGTTGATCTATGCACTCTACATGATCATCTACAGCAGTTTGTGAATGACACTGGTGATATGGAAGGACAATTTGCTGCTGATCCATTGGCTCTCATGATGGAGGCACAACCTAAGAAATCATCCAAGATTCAGAAAAAGAAAAAGAAGGCGATTGTTGTGTCAGAGGAAGAAGATAGCGAAGAAGAATTCAATGTGGAATTTGAGCTGGCCAAGTTGCACAAAAAGATGGCCCTGCTGACCAAGAAGTTTGTGAAGAAGAGAAATTCATCAAACAAACTGAGAACCTCTTCATCCAACTTCATACAAAAGAACAATGGTCAGAATGCCTCTGGAAAGGCAATTGCAGCAGAACATCCCCTCAGGTGCTATAACTATGAAAAAGCTGGACATACCATCAAAGACTGGTACTTACCAAAGAAAAGGGACTTCAATTACTACAAACATAAAATGTTATGGAACAAACAAAAGATGTTCATGGCTAAGGAAGATGATGACAATGTTGCACTGCTAGCCGAGAAGGATCATTGGTTGGATGACTCTTCTGATGATGAAGATGAGGAGAACTTCTGTCTCAAATTGGTTTGAATAAAATTGTGTGTGTGTTGTGTGCGTTGCATGTGCTGAGGGGGAGAAAAAGAAAAATAAAAGTGTGTGTGTGTGTGTGTGTGTGTTGTGTGCGTTTCATGTGTTGAGTGAAAGAAAAGAAAGAAAAATAGTGCGTGTGTTTTTATTTTTTTCATGCATCTTTCGAGGGGGAGCTTTTATCTGTGCAAATTACTGTGCACAAAAACATGTATATGGGACCAAAACATTTTTTAAACCTTACTGGGCCCAGCAAACGACACTGGGCTCAAAATTTTCTCGCAAGGCCCAAACCCCACTTTCTCGCATATAAAAAGCATTTCGAAACCTCTCTTCTTCACTTCTCGCATTTGCATTCTGTTTCTAAAACCCTCAAGTCCAAAACTCTTTCTCGCGTCTTCTCTCTTGAAATTTTCTTCTTCTTGCAAACAAAATAACACATTTTTGAGTGATGCCAAAAAAAGGGGGAAAAGAATGGCACCTCAAAACGTTTTAACTCTCATTTTTATTTTGCTTCAAAAGTTTGGTATTTAGGAATCATCAAAAAGGGGGAAATTGTTAGGTCCCCTAGATTTTGAGGATCATTATAGATTAGTTTTGATGTTGCCAAAAACACTATGTTTCCTGTATTAGACTAGAGCTTGTATTTGTTCTACTCTGTTTATTGTAATGTGCACCAATATTAGTGATAAAAGTACTCAAAAGAAAAACAAAGAGTACTAAAAAGAGAAGAAACGTACCATAAAACATAAAGAAAAAAAAGAAAATTAAAGGTACGAAAAGAGTCAACTGAAGCCCTTATGAAATTAGATACTTAATCAGAAAACCATCTGGTGACCTTCTGATGGAACAAGAAGACCTCAATTCTGATCATCATCAGAGCTGGTCTTCTCTGATGACAACAGAAGACCTCATGGTCTATTCTTATGTTCTGGTCATCCTCAAATCTGGTCTTCGGTGGACACCAGAAGACCTCATGGTATTCTGATTAAATACCGAAATCTACTATTCTTCTCTTAGCACAGAAACAATTAAACAAAAGACCAACTTGCAGTCAAAATGACAAAAAGAATAGAAAGTAATTTTATAAGAAATTATGTGACAAAATTTCTTATAAAACTAATTTACTAAAAGCAAGTAATTTTATTGTATTGAAGCATTGAACAACACTCTGCTGATCTTCTACGAGCTAAAGAAATAAAGATAAATCATCTTTATCTTTACCTAAAAATGAGGAATCAAGTTGAGTGAAGATATTTGATCCATGTCACAAGAAGATAAGAATCAACCATGCTTCCTCAGTCAAGTGGAACAAAGCAAGTAGATCAAGCAACGATCAAGATTGAATCACTCAGCCAACGGAGGAGATTCAGCAACAAAGTCTATAAATACAGAAGGAGTGCGGGAAGATCAAGTGTGGCACCAGATGGTAAAATCATGGTCTATAGGAACCAAGCGGAACTGAAGGGAATCAAGAATCTCACGAACATATCCAGCTAGTCGATTGACCTTCACCACTCTGGTCACCACCTCACTCATCTAATGCTCTTAGAATAGCTCATAATTCAAACAAATCTATAGAGCTTAGATTAGTTGGTAGCCTAGTTTAAACCCATGTAAACTAGACTAGTGTCAGACATTCTGGAGGGCTTTGTGATCAAATCCAGAAGGTGAGAAGGACACGGACATGATTAGCTCTTGGCAAGTCAATGCCATTAGTCACTACTACAGAAACGAGTTTTGACGTCGGTTATTTATACCCTATAACGTCAGTTTTGTAACTGACGAGGAATGTCTGAACATTATAGCTAGGAAGCTATTACGTCGGTTCTGAAACCGACGTTACAGTTAGGCATCTATTACGTCGGTCTTGCAACCGACGTTATAGAATTTTTTAAATATTAAATATAAGTACTTACCTCGTCGGTTGTTAAATAAACAGACGTAATGTCGTATTTTGCGTAACATATATAACGTCATTTATCCTATATAACCGACGTGAAAAGATTTAATTTCCCACTATAACTTCACGTCATTTTTAACGTAGAACCGACGTGATTGTATATTATATATTATTTTCTGAGTAAAAAACGACGTGAAAGAAATCATATTTAGGGATAGTACCATTTTTTCCTCAATACAATACCAGTCAGTTGAACATGATAATAAATACAATCCCTAGAACAAACATGATATCCACACAAGATCATCAAAACACTAAATTAGTTCCCAAAATTCTGATTCATTCAAAGATCATCACAAATTGTCTCATACAACATCTAGTCTTGCAATTCAAAGCATTCATGTTAGAGTTGTACAGACTCCTAAACAATTTCACAGTGACAAACCATATTGCATATATTGCACGACAACTTAAAAATAAACTGAACCCATTGCGTCACATCATAAACTATATTTGCATATAGCTTTGCACCATAACCCACGATCAACGTCTAGATCACCCCTTGTATATTTATCACACCGGCTGAACATCTACAAAAAATATCAAGTAGAATGTTAGTTATTAATAATACATAGATTTCATATTTGAGATGTAATTAAATATTGTTTGCAACATTCTTAAAAATCACCTTGTTCAAATTTTGTGTCATTTGACCAGAAATAATGTCATGCATGATTCTCATGACGTAATAACCACATTCTACATTCTCCACTTGTGCTGGACACTACAACATAATGAAAGAATAAAACATCATTCAAACTCGTAGTCTTTTGAGACACAATGACATAATAAAGTAAATATATCAATCTGTCAAGGTAGAGTGAAAATTTCCATCATTAATACATTATATAACAACTAAAGAATAAGAAGTCCATACAATAAAAATCCTAGTAAGATAGCTAACCCTTTCACTGCCATTTGTCTTCTCTTGAATCATACGTGGACATAAAAATCCATAGTTTTTACTTCCTCTCAAGTCAAAATGATTGTTAAGACATCTATCATAAAAAATAAATTACTATCACATAACAAAACAAAACAATATTCCTAACCACCGAGATAAAAAAATCAAATCAAGTGCTATTGTTAAATGCAATAGAAAACAGACTTAAGGAGATGAGGTTTAGTGATTTACAGACCTGAGTGGTCTAAACTAGTTATGTTACCTTGTTCTTAGCTTGTCACATGATTCAAAACTATGTGCTTCAACCATCATCTGCATGTTCATCACCTCCTTAAGGAGATGAGGTTTCTGAAAAGTAGAAAGAGTTTGTCAGCTGGAAAATGATTCCTCCCATGAGATAAAGCTACCAACTACACCAACACCAAAATGTCAAAGAAAGAAGAAATGAAACAAAACAAAACAAAATAGACATACCTCAGCAAAATGCAGATGATAATCCTGCAACATGCTGTCACACCAGATACTAATGGAGAAAATAGCAGATTGCAAGAAACTTGATCTAGTTTGACAGCCATTCGAGGTAGTGAAACATAATAGGCCATCTATATATTTATCTTCCATATGGTCCTCATCTTCATCAGACAAAACTTTAAGCATTTCATGAATGGAGTAGTCTAAAAGTACTGCCTCATCTGTCGCAACAAACATTATAATCAGCAAAAAAATGCATAAGAAGTTTTGTCAAAACTCTACATAGCGGTGACATCTAAAAATACAATAAAAAACTGCATCCCAGAATTGAAGGTGCACAAAGTATACCAAATGCATAGCATGTATACATGTTGAAAAAGCACCCATGAATATATCACATTATGGAGTTTCTGAGTAATCCCTAACATTGACCAAGATGACTTGAGGAGCTTCAGGATCTCAGCAGCTTCCTGAAATAGATTGAATTAGATAAAGTCATAAATTTGATGTACGGAGAATAGAATACAGAATTACAAACAAAAATAATATACCTCAATAAGGTGGTCCTCTTCAAGAATGTCAAACAAACCAAAAAGTAGTTTCTCATAAACCCGAAAATTCAACTGATAACCAACACTCCAATAATAATTTTCACCTCGAATGCCATACTTAGGTGGCATACTTGATAGTGTCAGAGCAATATGCCTAATAGCAGATACGACTTCGCAGTGTTTGGAGGGAGACATCCTAGTATCCCAATCTTGAAGAACAAAAAAAACTCTTTGCTTTAAAAGCGCAATATTTATTTTACAGACTAAATAAGGTCAATTATACATTTATAATAGTACTAGGACAAAATCACAAAGATACCGAAAACTGTAGTTTAGAAACGAAAATGGCAAATTTGGTATAGTTCAAATACTATCTGAGGATTCTACCGATAAATAATGTAGGCATATAGATCCAATTAACTTTATTCAAAATCCGGGGACCAAAATCACTAAATAACGATTCTTGGAGAACCAAACGAGTAGTTGTACCTAAATTATAAAGTTCAGCTTTATTCAATAGCTGGCTTTTCTCAATCATTAGAGAGTTCAGATTAACAATGTAGGGACTGGAGTGATCTTGAAATAGAGGAGTCTTTTAGCGCGACCCTCTTTATTTTGTCAGATTTTACGAAGATAAAAAAGGGAAGAACGTTCTTTTTTTAGCTCAGTTTGAACCCAAGGTTGGGAACTGCCCCACATCTTCAAAATAATCATCCCTCTTAGCTTGAAAATAATCAAAATATGAGCCACTTAGAGCTTTAGAAACTTTACAAGTTTTATGGAACTGTAAATTAAATTTGAACATATAAAAACTTTATTTTTGTATGCTCTATACTAACTTGAGTGCAGATGCGATTTACAAGAGATTAGTAATAAAAGCATCACTTGAAAACCAGTCAAAAGTGACTATATTACAACAATACTTCTAGCTAACACATATTAAAGCGGTTAGAGAACATATGCTTAGGAGAAATATTTCAGGAGTTGAAAGAATGCAGCAAAATACAGAGTAGAGTAGAGTACAACAATACAACTTTACAACAATTTCAGAATTATTTACCATAATAGCAAGAACACCTTATTGGTTTAAGAACCACCTAATAACTATACTGAACTCCAAAGCCTCCAAAAATAAAAATGAGGAATATAAGTTGATTCAACTTAAAGTTTATTTAATACACAATTATGGGTTCCAGACTCTTTCTTCAATTCAGAAGTTCTTTTTCTTTTCCAATATTTGCTCAATGATAATTCAGATTATAAAATGAAAGATAGAAAGAAAGAAACTTTGATTGGCGCTCAATGAAACGAAAAGTGGCTTCAAGCAAATGAGTATTGTCTACCCCAGCCTTGGAAAAAATCCTGCGTTTATTGCAGTGCAGTTGCAAGTAGGGGTGGTTCGGTACGGTATACCGAATATTTTCTCTCATACCTTTGTCGTACCAAAACTTTTGGTATACAAAATTTATATACCTTTACCTTACCGAAGTTTCGGTATACCGCATTTCGGTATACCGAAGTTTCGGTTCGGTAACGGTACGGTATCGGTAAATTACCATGCATGTCTCCCAATAAAACAAATTATCATAGACTAACGAAATATACTAAATCGGTGTTACTAGCGACATATTTAATGCATTATTAAAATGCTACACGATACAATTAATAATCTATTGATGTCATATTCAATCTTGTACAATAATTATTATTAGTATATTTAAGCAGTTCAACATGCTACATATTAAAAAATAATACATTCTTCTAAAATAACTTGAACAATATAAATATACTTAAATTAGTGATCTCTAACAAAAATAAATAAAACTATTGAAACGACATGGATATAAAATCATTTATTCCTAATATGATATTGTGTATTTAGTCATATTTATAATTTAAAATAATATTTGAATAAGACTTTTGGACAAAGTCATGTGTCTCGGCTTGTGGAATCACTATGTAGATTCATCACATAAGTGTATCCCTCTTGACTCGTGAGCTACTCAGCGGCTCAACTGTCGCGACTCGCGAACTCTTGGAACAAGATGGACTTGTTTCTGGACATTATTACATTACTCATTAGTCATCATGGTTAGCTTGTTTGAATGTTAGGTAGTAGAACCCTAGAAGGTTGCTATGTAAGTCCCTCTATATTAGGAATTGGATAAAATCCTAACAACGAGTCATTGGGCTTCGTAAATTTGTGAGGCTATAATGGATCTACAAAAAGAAATTAGAGTTGGATGTCAAAACTGTGCGAATTTGTGAGGCTAATTTTTGTTATTTTTCTTGTCCCTATCTCCCCCATTAATTTTTAACAGGTGATGAGTTGGATGCTTATGATGATTGATGGATTGCATGCAATTGAGAGCGAATTAGAAGATGCCTTAGTCAAACCTAGTCAAGAAATAAACATTTATTTATTATGACATTAGTTTTATTGTTTTGTTTTGGTTTGCCTGTGCATTCGGTTAAGAGATGACCGGATGTGGCGGTAACACTCATTTCCCTATTAAGAGGTACCTACTAGATTCTCGCAACTGCTGGCTTTGCAAGAGAAGCAGTAGCATCATCTAACTTTAAGGGCCTACCTACTAGATTAGCAATCTCAAAAAGAGCTTGTTTATCTTGTAAGTGAATAGGCAACCCTTCCATAGCAATCCACACCGGCACAATAGGTGATTCAACATTAGGACAAAAAGCCGGAGTCCATTTAGTAACACGCATAATATTCCCTTTAATCAACCAAGATTGATGATTCCAACAACGAATAAAATCCTCCTCAAGATCAAACCGAATCAGTACATGTTTAGGATCTAGAGTTCCCAGATGAAAGGTTCCTTTAAACCCTATAATCTCAAAAGCCTTTCTAAGAACCAGGAGACTCGGTTTGCCTTTGTAAAAATAACCTACGAGAGCTCTCTTGTGCTTATCAGCAAGCGATTGAATTTCACCATCTGAAAACGAGATCGCAGGCATACCTTTGTATCTTGTAGGGATTTTCTTTGAAATTGATGCACTTCGATTGGCCACCACGTCTGCAAAAGACTTCCGCTCCCATGCTCGACCGCCTCCCGGCGGCTGAGCCACCGAAGTTTCGTTCATGCGGTGGAGAGAATCGCCAGACCTTCTCTCTCTAAAACCCTATCCCTGATTTCTAATAATAATATAATCTCCATCGGCTGAGGGCATTCTTGGTTCTGTCCCTCCTCCAGTTGTATGCCAAAAATTTTTCTCTGCAAGTCATTCTGCTCTTCACTATCCATCTCGTTTTGCTCAGCCTTCTGCACCTGCGCTTCTGACCCCTATTGTGGAATCAAATGATGCTTTGTGGTATCCTGACTCTGGTGCGTCTGCTCATATGACATCTTCTGAAGGTATTTTGTCCAATAAATCCTCTTACTCTGACTCCATGACTGTTAGTGTTGCAAATGGTACTACGCTTCCCATTGCTAATATTGAAAATATTACATTAAATACTCTCAGCCACCCGTTGTCGTTAAAATCTGTTTTTCATGTGCCTCAAATTAAATTAAATTTAATTTCAACTCAAAAATTGTGTGCTGATAACAATTGTGTTGTTGTTTTTGATAAAAACTATTTCTTTGTTAAGGACAAAATGTCGGGAGCAGTTCTTCTTCAGGCGCGTCATAATGGTCATCTATATCCTATCAGCCTCACTTCACCTGCATCTTTAACTTTAGCCACAATTACTTCTCCAGGCCCTGTGTGGCATCGTAGATTAGGACATTGTGGTGAAACTATTTTGCGCGTGTTGCGTCGAAGAAATCTTATTTCTACTTCGTCTACTTTTGAACATGATTGCGTTTCTTGTCGATTGGGTAAATCCCAACGGTTACCTTTTTCGAATGCTAGCCATAATTCTTCTGTTCCATTACAATTAATTCATTCTGATGTATGACAATCCCCCGTTTTATATACAATTCCCCAGTATGGCTCAGCCCTCACCCCATCACATCCCTCCTGTACTATCCAGCCCATCCCAGCCGGCTGTTCAGCCTTCCCAAGTAGACTGCCAAACCAGCCCGCACAACCAACCTCCCCAGACACATTCCCCAGTGCGTCGACCACTCCTCCCTCCACTCCGTCACCCACTGCCTCCCCTAGCCCGTCACCCCCCGTTTCTCCCAGCCCGTCTCCAGGCCAGACCACCGACTGTTCTTCCCCATCTCCCACTAGTGCTCCACCCGTCATTTTAGCAAATAATCATCCTATGCAAATCCGATCAAAGTCGGGTATTTTTAAACCCAAAACCATTTTCAATTTAAATACAATTGTGTTATCAGCAGATCCTACTTGTTTTACTAAGGCTAATAAACAGTTAAAATGGCGTCAGGCAATGGCTGAGGAATTTAATGCTCTTATTTCTAATAATGCTTGGGAGTTGGTGCCGTTTGATAATTCTAAGAATATTGTGGGCTCTAAGTGGATTTATAAGACCAAATACAATTCTGGTGGTTCTATTGAGCGTCATAAAGCCCGTTTGGTTGCCCAGGGATTTAATCAGCAAGCTGGTGTGGATTTTTCTGAGACCTTCAGTCCAGTCATTAAACCCACCACTGTTGGTGTTGTTCTTACTTTGACTATTTCTTTTGGGTGGGTCATACGTCAGTTAGATGTCAAAAATGCTTTTCTTCATGGCACTCTTATTGAGGAAGTCTATATGCATCAGCCGCGGGGTTTCGTACATCCTTTGTTTCCTAATCATATTTGTCGTCTGCGAAAAGCCATTTATGGACTTAAGGAAGCCCCACGTGCATGGTTTCATCGTTTCAGTAGTTTTTTTGTGAACTCATAATTTCACGTGTAGCAAGTTTGATAATTCCTTGTTTAATTTATTTTTCGCCAGCATACTTCTATCATTTATTTACTGCTCTATGTAGATGACATTATTATCACTGGTAATTCTTCGTCTGTTATCACTTCCTTTATCAGTCTTATTTAGACATATTTGTTTCCTTTTGTAATCAGAACTCTTCTACTATTAGTACACATGTCAGGGCTCCTATTGGAGTACCTTTTCCCATTATTCTCACAATTATAATATATTAACTTTTAGTCATATTTTTTTCAATAAGTTTTACTCCCACCATCCCATAATATCATTGATATTATGTTCAATACCATGTCATAGATGTATTATTTAGTTTAAAAATTGACACCACTCATAGTAGCTTTTCATGTGTTTTCATTTATCCTACTCTAGGTTACCCCTAATATCTTTTTTTAAAGAATGAAGATGGCACAGTACGTGCAAAAGATCATATACTACTGCATTCGTCCATCTAACATTGAGATATCAAAATGTGACATAATTATTAAAAAATGAGTTTATGTATTTGATATCGAATTGATAAAGTGAGATAAAGTAAAAATGTTTTAAAGTCATGCAAAACTTTCATGCTTGTGTGTTCATGAAAGACACGCTTTGTTGCCGTGTCTG